GCCACTTTGAGTGACTTTGAAATCAAGTTCAAGAAAGTGACATTGCGATGTGACAATGAGAGTGCAATCAAGTTGACCAACAATCCGGTTCAACATGCAAGAACAAAGCACATTGATGTCCGCCACCATTTCATAAGAGATCACCAACAAAAAGAGGACATTTGCATTGAGAGTGTAGGCACCGAAGATCAACTTGCCGGTATATTCACCGAGCCCATGAATGAGAAAAGGTTTGCAAGCTAAGGAATGAGTTGAACATATTGGATTTCTCAAATATGTGTTGATGTAACCCCTACTTATATGACATGCCTCTCCTTTGAGCAATCCAAGGTAAAAGTTGATTGGCATGGCATACATCCTTGCTAAGGATATGTTTAGTGCATCTAGACATCTTTCATATTTAATAGGCTCATTCATGAAAATCAAATGAATTTGATGATTATATGGTACCACTATTGCTTCTATGCTTATTTTGATCTAGTGGTAGCATATGACATGTTTGTGGACTTGTAAACCTAGTGTTTAATCTAGAAAATGAGTTTTAAGTGTTTAACTCAACATGGTACAAGATAACCCTTATTTGGAGGTGTGAAGAAGCTTGTCCTTGGATCAAACCGAGTTAAATATCTTTGACAAATATTCTAGTTTGAATCAAATTTGGGAATATGGTCCTCATCCCATTGATTGACATTGATAATCTCAACCTATCTACATTTTAAACTTTTATGGTCATTAATGACAAAGGGGGAGAAAAACAAAGATATAAATGATATTAGTACGTGGGGAGAAAAACAAATTAGTGTACTAAGATCGTGAAAAGACAACAAAAGGGGAAAGAAATAAAGATATAAGTGATAGGGGGAGTATTTGACATAGGGGGAGAGATATGATAAAGGAAAGGAATCAATTAAAATTTTGAGCACACAAGTAGGGGGAGCAAGCTCATGAACTTGTATGTTGCATTTGAATGTGCATTTCATATGTTTACTTGCATGGCACAAGTTTTAAATTTCAATATCCATGCTTGTGTGGTGTATGCTAGTTGTAGGTTTGAATGATGAAATAAAAAATTAGCATGCATAGGTTATCTAGAGATTTCATTTCCAAAAGGTATCGAGCTAACCTTGGTGCTAAGGATGGTACTCCCTCCATACCTATAAAGGATGTCGTTCTGGGCGAGTGGGGCGTTTTCATATAGGATGTCGTTCTACACTTGTTGGGGGAGTATTTGGACGTGTTTGCCCCTGGCATGCGTTTCGGCTGCCATTCCGCTGGTCAAAGCATTAATCGCGGCGCTTCATTTCACTAGCCACCCGTTCGGCGCTCGCCTCCCTTCCTGCAGAGTCGCCCGCTCGCCTCCCTTCCAATCCAGTAAACAACGAAGACAAAAATGCGCCAGAAACGATCGCAGTAGGGAAAAAAGCGCGCCATGCAGATTCCGCTCGCACTAGGGCCAAAAAATAAAAAACGAGCGCATGCAAAATGAAGCCACCAGCAAAAAAATGAAGCCACCAGCAAAAAAAAATTGTGCCCGCCAAGTATCGAACTCAACTCCTCGAGACTCATGCCTCGCTGCACTAACCGATTGAGCTGGGGAATTTTCTCGCATGAAATGCACCCACAACCATATTTAATAGGGGCAGACAGGGAAAACTCTACCCTAATTAATCACTCCTTGGTATGCTAAATGCTGTCCTAAATGACTTTCTTTATAGGTATGGAGGGAGTATATTGGTGCACTTCGATTGGTATCACGCTTTAAAGGTCCATCTTTTATACCTTAGCATCATTCGATAGACATTGTCTCCTATATTTCCTATCTAAGCATATGTGCTAGCTACAATCCAAACTCTTAGCACATATGTAGGGGGAGCAATTGCTACCATTTGGAGTTCATGAAACTTGTCCATATTCTTTTATACATGGTAAATATGCTTGGACAAGCAACATGGATTCAATTGAATTTCAATTCATATCTTTGTGAAAGAATTGTCATCAATTACCAAAAAAGGAGAGATTGAAAATTCTAGTTTGGTTTTGGTGAATTGATGAAACCCTAAGTGCTAACCTAGTTTATCAAGTGATCATAAGATAGGTAGCACATTCCAAGTGGTGAAGCAAATGAAGATCATGACATGATGATGGTGATGCCATGGTGATGATTAAGTGCTTGGACTTGAAAAGAAGAAAGAGAAAAACAAAAAACTCAAGGCAAAGGTATAAATAGTACGAGCCATTTTGTTTTTGTGATCGAGACACTTAGTGAGTGTGATCACATTTAGGATCGATAGCCGTATTATTAAGAGGGGTGAAACTCGTATCGAAATACGGTTATCAAAGTGTCACTAGATGTTCTAACTCATTGCATATGCATTTAGGATCTAGTGGAGTGCTAACATCTTTGAAAACATTTATGAAGATATGCTAACATATGTGCACAAGGTGATACACTTGGTGGTTGGCATATTTGAGCAAGGGTAAGAAACTTCACCGGCGGAGTGTCCGTGCGGACAGTCTGACGGTGCCACCGGCACCCTGTATAGAAAAGACAGGGTCTCACAGAGTGGACCGAACGCTGGCCTCAACTGGACCGGCGTGTCCGGACAGTAGAAGAAGTGAAGACGCTGGCGTCCGTCTTCGACCAGACGCTGGGTCACTTCGTGATCGGACGCTGAGTGGGTGCGCCCGGTCCCACTGATGTGGCAGCTCATAGAGGAGACGTTGAGTGACCAGACGATGGGTGAGTCCGGTCGGGCATGACCGGACGCGTCCGGTCGTGATTTTTCGCCTCTAGAACCTTACTGGAAACGACCGAACGCTGATGTTGGTGCGTCCGGTCACTTTGAGCAGCGCGTCCGATCATCACTTGACCATTGAGATCGGGCGAATAGCATTTGAAGCCGATGACACGTGGCAAGCATCGGGCGATCGGACGGTGGGGTCCTGCGTCTGGTCAATATGACCGGAGCGTCGGGTCCCCCCGTGTTGTGCCCAGTGAAAGGGTACAACGGCTCTATTTCGTGGGGGCTTCTATTTAAGCCCAAGGCCGGCTCAAGCTCACTCTTGGTGAGATTGGGAGTGAATCTAAGTGCATTGTTTGAGTGTTTGCATCTAGAGGCACTTGGTGTTCGTGTTTCGCTGCGAGATTCGCTTGTTACTCTTGGTGGTTGCCACCACCTAGACGGCTTGGAGCAACGAGGATCGTCGAGCGGAGGTTGGTGATTGTCTCCGGCTCCGATCGTGGTGATTGTGAGGGGTTCTTGACCTTTCTCTGCGGAGAGCCAAAAGGTACTCTAGTGGATTGGTCGTGGCTTGTGTGATCCTCATCTTGTGTTGGTTGTGTGGCACCCTATTGAGGCTTTGGTGTGTGATGCCAATTAGCGCGTGAACCTCCAAGTGAGTGAATCGCCACAACGAGGACTAACTTGCTGGCAAGCAAGTGAACCTTAGTAAAAAATCATTGTGTCATCATTTGATTCCGAGATGATTGGTCTTTATTGGTATTCATTCTTGTGATTGATTGTCTCCTTCCTTGACACGGCGGTATAACCATCTTGCTCACTCTCTTTATATTACCATAAACTAGTTGTCAAGCTCTTTAGTGTAGCTAGTTGTGAGAGCTTGTTAGTTTGGTTAGTGTGGCTCTTTCGTTAGCATTTGAGAGTGTACTAACTTAGTGTAGTGATATAGCTATTGTGTGGATAGAAACTATATAAACTAGAATTATGGTAAGTAGCTTGCATTTTTAGTAGGCTAGCATAATACTTGCTTCGCCTCATAATTATCTAACCGGTTTGCTAAGTGTTGTTATAGAAATTTTTAATAGGATATTCACCCCCATCTAGCCATTAGGACCTTTCAACCATAGAAATCCAGTGCCCTGATACCTGGACTAGCCATTGCCGATTGTTGGGAGTCTCCATATCCGGTGGTTTCTCTGATGCACCACTGGACAAAATCTTGTGCTTTATCCAGGGTTGTCCTCGCTCTTTGGAATGCACCATTATTCTCCGGTGCACATACCAGAGAGCACTAGTGTCCTCTTTTTTGTTCTCTACCACCTATGCATCAGCTCTGCACTGCAACTTTGGCGTAAAACTTTGATGCCCACACCAGAAATACGTCATACACAGCTTCCAATTATACCTTGAACTAGGCTCACCTATAAATTCTGTTGAGCCTACCGAAAAGTTTGGGTGCACCACTCTGGTGTGCTCTAGATGTGTTTCTTCATGTCCAATTGTCCGAGCTTTTCTCCCTTGATGTCTTGAGCTCTTTGCTTGTCTTCTAGAGTCTTCATACATATTCTTTGATCTTCATTTGAAGTGTTGATTTCTTGATCTTCACCAAAGCCTAGCTCAAGTCCATCTTTATATCCCTAGGACTAGTGTACCTTGTATACTGACAAACATTGTTAGTCCTAATAGTTGTGTTGTCAATCAACCACCAAAATAACTAGGTCCTCGCTATGGTCTATATTTCTTACAATCCCTTACAACTAAAGCGAATAATAAAAGATTAAAAAAGAAACTACCTACCTGCTTGGATGTAAGACAAAAGTAAGATCAAATATCTATTATAATGGTCCGATCAAAATTATACTAGATTTCCTAGAAAAATATCCTCCGCTAAGAGCTTTCAACCATTCTACGTAAAAAAAAATACATATAGAAATTCGTGTCCATTAAAAAGAAGCACTAATAAAACGTCCAAACTAAATCCTATCGCCGACAGAAGAAGTTTGATACCAGCCTTCAAACGCACCCGCACCCCGCGCGCCCGCAGACACCGTCGCGAGTAGGGTTCGAAGTCTGGGCGGCCGTTGATCCCGTTGATCCCGCCGGCCGGCCGCCTCCTCCCGCCCGGATCGCGAGCTGACCTCGACGCCCTGGCCGTGCTCCTCACCGCCAACCCCTCCCTCGCCCACCCTGCCACGCTCGATCTAGGACCGGAGGGCAACGCTCCACACCGCCGCCGCCAATGGACGCGTCGAGGACGCCATGGATCCCTCTCCTCCAGCTCTGAACCAACCGCCGCCACGCCTGATTCGAAAGCTGGCGGCGCGACGGCGTCGCGGCAGGGAAGCGGCGGCCCGGTGCGGACGCGACGGACAAGGCGGACGCGGTGCATGCCGCTTCATCTCCGAGCTCCGAGCAACATGCAGGCGCCGCGGTCCCCGTCATCGCCTCGACGCGAGGAGCCGGCACGGGGCCAAGCGCAGGGGCCGCGCGGAGCCGTCGGCCGCTGGACCGGGCAACAGGGCCGCGGGCGCCGCCGCGGCGCGCGGGCTCGGAGGAGGAGGAAGAGGGCCCGACACGCTAAATCCACGTCATGGCCTACTTCCTGTCCACCGGGTAAGCACGCAGTGCCACTCCCGCGCTTGCTCGGTAGTTGTTTGATGATTTACCAGCGAAGAAACATTGGGTGCTGTCATGCTTTTCTGAAGATGCCGATGCGGAGTTCACACCTGAGATCATGATTAGTCATTACAGTTTTCATCACTTTGTTGGAAGACCTGACATTCAAAATTAACAAATCTCAGTCACGTTTGGACCAGTTGGACATGCTTTTGCAACATTGACCTATGCTACAAATGGATTTCCTTGTGACTTTGGTTGATATTTATGCAGAACATTGGAGTCAAGGACAACAGATTTTGCTATTGCTATGAAGTTGTTTTCCAGTATAGTTCTGCTGTGCTTTTCAATATTGCTGATCATGAAGCTGAGTACTATCTTCAGGATGGCTTCCACTCTTCCAGAGATGAGAAAAGATGGTATGCCCAGTTTGCCCACTGCTAAATTGTGTTATGTTTACTGCTTTTTACTTGCCTCCATATTTGTGTTCCTTAATAATATTTGCATGGGCCGTGCGCAGGCGCCGCGCGGGGCCGTCGGCCGCCGAACCGGGCAGCAGGGCTGTGGCCGCCGCGGCAGCGCGGGGGCTCGGAGCCACGCGGGGTCGTCGGTCGCCGACTGTCAGTGCTGCGGGCTGGACACACTCCGAGTCCCTGTTACGGTTTTTTGCTTTTGATTTCAGAAAGAGCATCCGGTTCAGCGTGCTCTCAGGAAGCGAGATTCACAAGTTCCCGGAGGTGCAGGTCTGGAACAACCGGATCTATGGGCACGACATGAAGCCGGTGCCCAATGGGTTGCTCGACCCGCGAATGGTAATGCCCCGCTCGGAATTGCTGTTTTCTCATGTGTATTTTCATGGATTATTTGAAGTTGATAGTTCTAACATAGGCGTGCCTTTGTAGCATCGTTCAAGTTGTTGCAACTTATTTCCCCGTGTCAAATTTCAGGGAATCCCGAATAAGAGAGACAAATGCAGTACCTGCCATAGTGAATTTAGTGACTGACCTGGTCATTTTGGCTACTTGAAGCTTGCACTTCCAGTTTTTAATGTAGGCTTCTTTAACTGTATTCTGGACGTGTTGAAGTGCCTCTGCAAGGTACTGGCATGAAGAAGTTTACATCATGGGTGTGCTGAACACTTGAACTCTGTCTTGATAATTATTCTTGTTCTCTCGTGCCCTTCCAGAGCTGTAGAAGAGTTCTTATGGAGAAAGACTGCAGGGAGTTTTTGAAGAAGATGAGAAATCCCAGGGCAGATGCACTACAAAAAAGTGCTACAATGAAAAAGGTGAGGGACAAATGCAAACTATCCTGCCCCCGCTGTGATTACAGAAATGGTAAACTATCCTATACTGTCTATAATAATATTACCTTAGGAATGTCACTACTGAAACATGGCTATTGTTTGTTTCAATAAATGAACTGTTAAGATAGGGTCTTCAAGTAAATGAATTGTTAAGATAGGGAGAGAAACACACTATATATCGAGACATAGATTAAGCTAGTCCTTGTTGTATTCAACAATATAAGTTTGATTCCTTTTGCATTAAATAATATAATAACCCTATAAGTTTGTATTGCTCCTTTTTCTGTGACTCTTCAATCTATTTTATTTTATACCGCGTTTGGTTGTTATTTTGCATCACCTAAAATGTCATACCTCGCTACAGTTAGATAATTCTGGATGGAGCAAAGGTACAGTCTGAATTTTGGAAGAAAGAAATATGTCATTTTGGTTTTATAGTTAGGAGATGATACTTGTGCATGGTTACTAAATAGTAAAGGAAACCTGCTAGGAAATAACTACGGTTCAGCAATCCAGAACTTGAAATATAAAATAGATAGGCCACCACCGTTGCAATACGATGTGTCCTATAATGGGCAGTCTGCATGCCATACAATTCATTTATTTTTATTTTGTGTTATTTTTCTTAATAGCAAAACAAGGGTATCCGAGACATGACTTTATTATGCCCTTATGCGATTTCCCAAATCATACGATTGGTTTGCATTGTGATGTGTTGAGCTGTAATGGCCAATTCTTGCACAGGGAAACCATCTTTTGGTTGTTTAAATTTGCATATATTTCAGTTCTAATTTGCATATATGTAAATGTTGTTGTAGCGTTAGCACAGAATTCTTGGTGGACATTTTGAAGAGCAGATATTATCCCCGGAGAACTCCAAGATTTACTTAAGCAATTCATAAGTTAATTGTAGTATCCGAGACATGACTTTATTATGCCTTGTTATGCTTGAGTGTTTTTCGGATTATATACATAGTCATATACAATTGCGTGAGACTTAAACTATGGAAAAATATCGTTATTTGGTTGTTTTCATGTGCATCCTCGAAATGAAGCCGTGGCGTTAGCACGGGTACTGTACTAGTTATGCTAATTGAAATATGCATGATAACAGATGAAAACCTTACCTTGCTCTTACTATTTTCTGTTGTCCTCCTTTATATCGTCATTAGGGATATAAGTCCGCCCTTATTCCATAATCAATTTCTCCCTTTGATACCATTGATTTGGTTCACACCTTCTCCCCTTTGGAGTCAAAACACTGAAGACAAAGACATTAGTAGCACAACGGATGATCAATTATTATGATCCTTTGGGTGTGGATGGAATTGGATCAAAATACTTGACACTCACATTACATAGACTAAGCTCCTCCTGATGTATGCATATACATATGATCTCTAAATTGTTATGGTACGAACCCAACTCTTTGATACGATATGAAACCCCAAATATTGGACATCCCGCAACATTAACAAACCCCCCCCCCCACCCCCAAAAAAAACAACCACCACCACCACGGTGCCCAAAGGCCATTTTCATCATGATGAAATGTGTGTTGGAAAGACAAGACATCCACGATGATTGCCCTGTTCGCTTGGCTGATAAGTCATGGCTGAAAGTACTGTTGGTTGATTTGTTGTGAGAGAAAAATAATGTTGGTTGGCTGAAAAAGTACGGCTTATAAGCCAAGCGAACAGGGCAGACATTTTTTGTTAATTGTCCTTTTTAGCTAGTCCTCCATTCAAGTTTTAAGTCGTTCTTAGCTTCATCTTAAGTTAAACTTCTCTAGATTTTACATTCATTAGATACACCATATGATATATTTTGATTGTGCAGTTATTATTCGATATTGTAGATGTTAATATATTTTTCAGTCAAAATTAGACTAGTTTAACTTAGGACAAAGCTAAAACGAATTACATTTGAAACGGATGGAATATATATGTATTGAGGATTCTCTCTTATAAGTGATGACCAGATTCAAACCTTACTAATCATGACCGGCAAGAGCAAAACTCGACCTCAAAATGGTTGTAATTCCAATTGACAAATTTACTTTTAGGTCGCAAGGACATCTTGGTTCTAATTTTGTATGCACTTGAGATTTGTGTGTTTACATGGTTCAAATTCAAAATTTCAATTTAATCTTTTAAATTAAATGTTTGAGCGGTAAAAAAGATTTGTAGCTGCAGAAAGGACCATTTGCTTCTTGTTTCGGTTCTTTTCAAGTTTGGAGACGCATATATATTCACATGCATTGGTTCCCAGCCATATATGATAACAAATCTTCATTTGATGGCTCGGTTTTGTGTGTGTGTGTGTTTTTTTTTTTGACCCAAGACGGCTCTGTATTGAACAGCGGTGGCAGACACAAAAGGCATAGCTTGAGAGCCAAGCCAGAGAAAGGTGCTTCGCGACAGTTGCGACTTTCTAGTAATCGATTCGAACACTTGTAATGTTTCATAGTTTCTCATGTTTCTCACTCGTGAAAAAGCGTGAAAGCATTTAGGCCCCTAGTTGGGTTTCGATGATTAATGACAACACGAGATTACTATAACTAACATGTGTTTTGCAGATGCAATTAAGTTAGGTCATGGTAATGGCAATTCATTGGACAATCATGGTTGTCATGCCCCTACGATGAAAATCGTTTCGGTTTTCAAAGGATGGACGACAAGGTTAAGGATGGACTAGTTTTAAGTGTCGTTTGGTGTTGAAGAGACACTTAGAGTAGTTTAGGACTTTGTTTTTCCTTTGGTCGTACTATTAAGGAGGTATGGACGGGTAGCCTGACCTAAGTGAGTCTAGTGGGTTAGCTGTGGTGCACACTTTCTAATCTAGCACTAGGTAGCTCCTAAAATGCCCTTAGATCAATTGGAGAAAACTTCATCCACATATGATTGCGAGATGGAAGTGAATGGAGGGTCAAATGCTGACCGAACGCTGGTTCCGATGTGACCGGACACTGACACAGAGTCCGATCAGTTCATTTGATCAAGGTGAATTCGTCTGGGGTGACCGGACGCTGAGAGGTGAGTGACCGGACGCTGGGGGCCAGCGTCCGGTCGACTCCAATAAGGTTCCAGAGAGGGAAAATCGTGACCGGACACGTCCGGTCAGTGCTGACCGGACGCTGTCCTGCGTCCGGTCACAACTTAAACACTGGGTTTCAGGGAGAACTGACCGGAGCGTCCGGTCACCCCGCAGAGGCACATAACGGTTTGTTTTGAATACGGGTGTATAAATATTTCCTCCATTCGTGTGAAAGGGTACTTTTGCTCATTCCAACAGCTGAGAAACACCCTTGAGAGTGTCAAAAAGAGCAAGGTTCTAGTGAGGTGATTGAGATTTGAGAATCCAAGTGAGGGGCCTCATCAGTGAAAGCAAGAGTAGCAAAGTGTGCATCCACCCTTCTCATTAGGTTTGTCGTGGTCAAATGAGAGTTCGTGCTTGTTACTCTTAGTGATCGCCATCACCTAGACGGCTTGGTGGTGATTGGGAGCTTGGTGATCATCCGGCGGAGCTTGTGGATGACCCAACTCAAGTTGTGAGCAGTTGTGGGTGATTCACCGCGACGGAGTGTCAAAGAATCAACATGTAGAGAGCACTTGATTCTTGCGCGGATCAAGGAGGAGCTACACCCTTTCACGGATGCTCCAACGAGGACTAGTGGAGAGTGACGACTCTCCGATACCTCGATAAAACATCGCCGCGTTCCTTCTCCTCTCTTTAATTTGAGCAATTCAATTCTTGTCTTTACATTCGTAGAATTGGCATGCTAGAGTAGAATTGAAACATATGTTACTAAACTTTTGTACGGTAGATCAATAAAAACACTTTCTAGGCACAAGAGGTTAATTAGGCTAACCGTAGAATTTAATTATTACAAAAAATTTAGAATTAACCCAATTCACTTCTACTCTTAGGCATCTTGATCGTTTCCCAGGGCACGGGTAAATCTGAAAGGGATTTAGTAAACGGGAACGTGCGATCTCTCACGTGGTCACGTCGAGGCGAGGCCAACTACCGTTTCAGAACCAAAGATCGGTTTCACATCATGGCACCGCCCACTGTTTGCTGGACTCCCAAAACATTTGGAACCCGACCCGACCGTCGTCAGGTCAGGTCAGGTCAGCAGTCAGCCACTCAGCCTTACCATGGTCCCGAAACATAAACCAGCAGTGCCTCATACGACACAAGATTAATGCTGCTTCGAGCCATCCACTGCCACACACATCACATATAAACCCGAGACCTGGTCTTGCGAAAATCAGTGGACGGCGCTGCAGACGGCAGAGCGAAAGCGGCTTTCAGTTTCAGCTGGCCTGACGAACCCGGCAGCGGACCCGGTCTGTGTCTCCACTGCAAGACCTGCCTACGGTCTCTGCACAAGAATTTCCGTGCATATGAGTGGTAATATCAATATCATCGGTATCATGGGTGATCGGTGAGTCTAGAAGCAGCTATGTTCGTGGTACACAACAAACTCAAATCACATCAAAACTGCATCAGCCAATCAGACTATATCAGATTTGGCGTCACACGATTCGTGCAGAAAAAAACCCATACATAGATGGCCACAAGTGCACAACTCCGTGATAACAGAGAGCTGATGTTTCGGCTGCCACAAGAAGTTGCACATCATTTTCACCATAGCATACCGATCAAGTACTCCCAAATATGAATCCGGCCAAACAATGCTGATCCATTGTTCTAAGGCCATCCCTGAATAGCAACACTGGAAATCCAACAAGATCATCAACCCTCGCTACTCGTCAAGTCATAAGGCAAACTCCATCTCAGCTCGTTTCAGGACACGTGAAACCATAGAGTAGAATTCAGGTTCTTCTTCTTTTATTCGGTCGAGTGTGGTGGATTCATGGGCGTCAGCCTGCATAAATAGGAGAAGGTGAACCAATGAACAGGAAAAGCCTCCGGTCCTTTCGTCTGCAACATATGCCATCTTGGAATTCAACTTTAATGTTCCATGAGTATTCGTGACTTGTTACCTCACTAAACTTGAGAAGTATTAAGTTTGAGATGCCAGCGGCCTTTGATTTGTCCCACCTATAACAAAATAAT